TGCTCCCCGTGACAAGTTTTGATAAAAACAGCTTAACTTCACATGAGGGTCTCAAGGATAATTACTGAGCGAGAATGCCTGAAAAGTGGCCATTTGCCGCGAGTGCGACTTACAGAAACCCCTCGTTACTCAAGGTGGCGCCGTACGCGATAGCAGGACGACGCCACCTTGAGTACAATCCAGGAGTGCGTGATAAAAGCGCGAATGGACTGAGGATGATGAGCTAGCTCCGCCTCTTTGAGCCGGACCCGCCTTTATCTTTCCGCTATGCCACTAGTATGCAGGGGGTGGAGTCGCGATCATTTGTATGTTCTCTAGAAATAATATCGTAGTTTTTTTTGCATCCACTCTCTGTTATCTAGCATAATGCTCAGTGCCAAGAGGGCTCTTACGCGGTTCTTTTTCGACGGTTTGTTTTATTTTTTCCTTACTAGTATTCCGCTTACCACTTGATCTAATAAATCTCAGCTTCGCAAGCAATGATTGACGAAGCGTACACTGCCTTCAAATGAATGTGATACTCATGTCCAGTGGGTCAAAGTATCCCAAGGAAGAACTTCTTTATGGAACGGAGGTCTTGGCTCTTTGGCTGTAACTTTTTGGGGTCAAAAGGGCCAAGTAGTCAAAGTTCAGTCTTGAAAGGAAAATAGCATTCCGTCAAAGTATTTCACAAAGCTGTTAGAGTACAACTGCTTATTTGATTGAACGCCGGCCGTCTGGGTTTAGATTGCTGTTATGGGAGAAATAGTGACGGCAGTGTTAATCTGATTTTTGACACTTTCTAATACTAGGCAAAGGATATGTGTACTTGATGCCTTGGTCGTTTTGGTCCAACGACCAAGGCATCAAGTACACGGGTCCTTTGCGCTTGTGATAAGATTCTTCCGCCTAGTCCGTCTACATTAGCCCACCTGGAGCCTAAAAATTACATTTCACTCTTCAGAGTGTAATGAGAACACTGTGAATTTTTATCCTTTTGAGCTCGCTGACGACTCCAGCGCAAAGAACGGGCTAGTGGTTAGCCCAATTCTGGACAATCTACAATGAGCTATGCTCTCATTATTGGAGTGTTTGGAAGTGTTTTCTGCAGAAGATTGGACACGCTAGAGTGGAAGAGGGTGCTTCGCTCGCAAATTAAAAATCCTGAGTTGTTTCTAGGCCTCTGAAAAGGCAAAGACGGCCGAAACTGAAAAAAAAACCAAACTGTGAATTCGCTTACCATATTCTGGGCGTTACTAATCTCTGCGCATTTCCGGTAGCCTAGCTGCCCCGACTGCAGAAGCTCTGCCATATTGGCGGCTTAAGAGTGCGTAGCAATGACGTCAAAGGCTTGTGATTTATGACTGCCCTCGCCCATCATGGTGAAAGACGGCGATCACTTGCGGCAGACAAAGCAGGGTCAAGTATCGTTTGGGTGAACTTTCCGGGCGCAACGACCCACCACCACCACCAGAAGGTGTCTAACCCCAACCCCCTTTCTATTGGCTGTCAAGGAGCTTGTCCCATTTCTGCGGCTACATCGCATGTTGGAGCACTGTATGAACCGCTGGACTTCCACTGAACTTCTATCCTGCCTGAACTTGCGAAGAGCCAAATCTGGACCAAACCTTCTCCAGAGCAAATTCCAATGAATCCATACCATTTATGGTATATTTCCGCCCAAATTTCCAAATGAAGTGACATGAGGGCCCCTTCACCGACTAGCTAGGGCTCGAATTAGGGCAAAGGCTCTGAGGATTCGTACTAGCCATCTGAATATCGTTTTCCTTTCGTCTTTGATTTTCTATTTTTAGTTTTCTTTTTCGAGGAAAAAAATGCACTTTAGACAATGTCGTCTTCTACGTCGTTATTACATAACGAGCAGAGTTCAGCTTACCGTTTAACATCTCGATAGTCTCGATAACGTTACGGCTCATTAGACAAACAGAAAGTCATAGTATGGGGGTGTCAACAAAGAGGAGTGAGCTTTTCAACCTAAAACTACTTCCATGGTTATTACATTGCATGAGTAATCCGTTTCCACAGAAGTTGGCATTTCTTGTGCCAATGTAATTTAGCCACAAGTGCACGACTTTCAGTCGAAAGAATTCTCGCAGATGATAATGGCGAGTTTAATGAAGGCTGTTCAGGAAGATTGATGAAGGTGTCCTATAAGGCTCTACCCATTGTCATTCAAGAATGAATTAATCCTGCTAACATTTTTCGAACGCCTTCTCGGAAAGGTACAATGAATGTGGGTGTCTTCGCCGAAGGGAAGTGCAGACGCCCAAAAGTCCCGCCTCGAAGGTTTCTCGTGCTCGTGCTGTTAGTCGGCTTCTTGAAGCAGGTGGCAAACAGAGCTTGCGTTGCGTGCATAGTCCCAGCTCGAGTTCTGCACTGGCCAACGAATCTTCCATCTCTCCTGGGTTGGTTTCTCAGCACTAGACATGGCTCACAGGATAGTTGAGACCCAGTAGCATTTCAAACGTCATCTATGTTTCTGCTATGAAGTGAAACACATAGCCTTTCTCGGAAGCTGATTAGCCGTCTTTTCTTGTCTACCTTTCTGCAGATCGCCCTACGTGGTGGCCCACTTTGTTTTTCTGAAGGCTACCGCGTCTCGGATTGTTATCACAAGAATGCTGAGTTGTGGGCAAAAGTCGTGCCCCAGGCGGGAGTCGAACCCGCACCTCACGCTTTCCGGGCGAGTGCGCTATCCGTTACGCCACCAGGAAACAGCTTTTAAAAGCCAAACAGCTTCATATGCTGCAATTGCTTTCGACATCCTGCCTCGCCTCCACATTCGGTGAAAAGACTATTCGCCGGTCACCGCCCCAACCACCTAACTTTTTATCCTGAGCCTTGTCACCTCAATTCTAGAGGAATCCTAGATTTAAAGGCACTTTCTTTCCCTTCTGATAATTCATTACTGATTCCACTTACAATGGATGATAAGGCAAAGGCCTATTTTGCGAATAAAAGAAACAAGGAGATGCGCTTTCTTCTCGGTGGTGCACACAGAACGATGGGAAGGAGAGGAGCGCCAATGGGGGAAGGCGCTACTCTCATGAGTCCCCGCCCATTTGATCACCGTAGAATGTGTTTTTGAACTTTGAAATAGCTGTTATTATTCGCGGTGCTATAAAACGCTACTCGTTGACCCTCCAGTGCAGCGGTGGCCTTCTAAAGTACTTCCATGTTATAGAGCCTAAACTATTCCTAATTTTAATATGGAGGACCGGCGGATGTCGATTCTGTCGGACATCGAACTCGTTCGTGGAGTAGTGATTGGCGATAACGAGTCCGTCATAACTATGATGATGGAGAAGTATGCCGAGTACAATGGTGTGTCCTACAATCATCAGGTACGTTTAATTATACCCCAATAATTATACGCTCTTCAGGTTTATTTGGAGTATGTAGAAAATCATATGTTGGCAGATTCTAACCTCCCCTACTGTTATTTGAAGCCTCTCTATATGTAGCATGCAATTATTTCTCAACGTTAAGAATATACCTAAATTTTTTATTTGAAAAGAATAATGGCATGATCAATCAAGTGACAGCGAATTTCTATTATTATATTGATATTAATATATCTGATTTAAACGGAAAAAGTGAATTTCAGAAGGGAGAGCTAATCACAGCTTTTAATGGTAGAAAGTGCGTCTTCAAAACTGTCTCCATGGAGCAAACCGATCGAGGATTCGATGACCCCCACGTATTTCTGTTGTGTTTATCTGTAGCACGTCAAACCAGTGCAGAAGACACGCTTCATTTGGTAAGCTTAGCTGATTTCCCAACTGAAAACCTTGAAGGCAGCGCCCGCGTTCATTTGATGTTCCTACGCCCTCCTGGATATCGTAGCTTTGTCGACAAGGGTGGAGGATGTACTAATTTCGCAGCTCAAAAAAGGGGATGGCGCCACCGCTTGTGAAGAGGATGCCGCCCCGCCCACCTGGCTGCCATAACTGCTTTGGCTTAGCCTTTAAAGGCTGAGCCCGCTTTCAAGAATAATGAGTTATGGAGCTCATATAATACGTGATCCAGTAGTGAAGAAAAAAGCAGAAAAAATCATGGAAAATGCCCCTATGCTGGCTAGGTGAGCGGGGCCGCCGACTCTTCACTAGCGAACGGTGCTATCTTCTCGCCTTCTTGAGATGCAAAACTAGTACATACTGCATCCTCATAGGGAGGGCTATGATATCCAGAGAGGGCGCGGGAACATCAAATGAACGTAGGCGCTGCCTTTAAGTGTGTAGGTTAAAAGTAATTCTGAACAAACGTGGATCGAAAATCAACAATATGCACTCGTTATCACTCAAGGCATCAGGGGGGTACCTGCCTGGCGTTGGTTTTGGCGCGGCGCCAGCCCGTCATCCATCAGTCCTATGTGGTTCGATTGTTCTGCTAGTGGTGGGAAGGGGCTGGAGCCGCGCCGTGTTGGTACGCAGAAATACAGGCGCATTTACATTTCAGACGTACACGCCGATAGGGGCAGGAAAAGGTTTTAAAGCGGTACCGAGCGTTCATGGCTTGAGGTTTTCTTATGATCGCCGCCCTCCTATTTTGAATAGTGTGATTGGCCTGGCCGTCAAAGGTTTCCCATTACAGATCTTCAACACAGTGGCCGAGCGTATACGTGGTGTGCCGTACGTACTCGTCGGTACTCAAATTGACAAACGTCTTTCAATGCTGATCGAAAACTACGGTTGTGTCAAACTAAAGAATACTAGCCGATAACCAAACTAAAACAGAAGCCGAATCTAATGCGAAAGGCATGGTGCCTAGAAAATATCTCCCCGAGTCTCGAAGTTACTGGGTGCGTATTCAACAGATTCGCAAATTTTTTAAAACGTTACGTACCACAGACCGATTTTCTCAATCGCAATTCTTTAAATTTTCGTCATTCACAGTGAATTTCAGCTCCGCGAGAGCGCTGTCCTCAGGGGGTATCCTAATCATCCACTATTGCACAGCACAGAAAATTTTATGCCATGAAATTTGGAGGTTCCTCAAAAATGGAAATCCTGTGGCCATATGGCCAACTGCTGGAATTCCAACCGCGATAAAATCTCTACAACGCTTTCGATTCTCCGTCCACGAAGGAGAGTCCATGGACTTTGTTGAGCGATGGAAGTTTCAGTTCATTCAGAGAGCTTATAGAGGTGCACAGACATTCTGTTGGGCCGACTCATGATTCCTTATGACCACTCTATCTCTGTCTGGACCAGCTATGCTTCGCCGACATAGCGTTCATATCCGAGTACATAAAAGGACAGTTCTTTTTTGATATGAGGTGTGGATTCGCTTCTCTTCCTGTGCCGAGATATGGACTTATTGCCTTCCTAATGCGGAGGAATTGGGGCACATCATTAGTTGAAAGATTTTGGCCTCGTTCCGTACACCCCCTTTTTTAGGAGGTTGGAACGACTCCCTTCTAGTGTTCCCTCCTCGTCAAGCTGTCCAGCAGGTATATAGCACATTTAGGCGAGAAAAGCCACGGTAAAATACGACCTCCTCTCTCTAGCATTCTTCCTATGAATTTTCTCCACCTCCCTATCCACTTCTTCGAGAGTTTCCCGAGAATTTACCTGCATTTACCCAAAAATTCCGCTGCTGAGCGGAGAAGTCTGTAGCGCACATGAAACAGGAAAAACCGCGGAAAGTCAGCAACCTTTCCTAGAAGGTCAGAAAGGAAATAATACCCCCCCCCTACAACGTACATGAAACAAGAAAAATCTGCTATCAAAAAACTTTCAGCCCAAAACGACCCCTCCCTTTCCGAGCGAACCAAGTACGGCCCCCTGCTGGGGAGTCCCCAACAAGGATGTGCCCTGGGAGGAATGGACTGTATAAGTGAACCTGCGAAAACGCACCCGCCGCTTTGGCAGCATCCGCGCTTTTTTAAAACCACAAGCGAATAGTACAATCTCGGTGGGCTGGGAATTCGGAGCTCCAAGGCAGTAAACTCCATCACCATAATCAGATTCATCTCAGCTACGTGGAAAGATCTCACGTGAACTTATTTTATGAAAATTGGTGGGAAAAAACTTAATACATTTCTTGGATTCTGATTAGCAATTCAGACTAGATTCTTCAGTGCTATAGGTTCTTGACAAGGTCATTCCAGTGGAAATAATCCCCTCGTGAGAGCGCAAAATAATATACTGTGCACAGTGATGAATCCGGACCACAGTATGTACAGCTTATCTCGCGGCACTCTGACGGGGGAGGCATTAGGAGGCGGCTGCACTTCTACCAATAGTGACCGCCTACTGGTAGAAAACAGCAAAAGAGAACACTGCTCAAGACCGCAAGCGGGCTCTTTCACCCCTCCGATACGGTCCCATCAAATTGCTGCGATATCATCTGTATATTTTGGATCATTCTCAAAACGCATGTACCGCCTTTTGCGACATTAGCTAGCATCGTATGAAATGATTTGCTCAGGAAATCGAAGTTGGGTGGAATCCAACTCGGTATTGAGCCCTTTCTGAGCGCAACGTCTTCTCAGAAACTGTGGGAAATTCTTGAGAAAGTGCCAAATTTAGGTTCCCATCACCGAAGATACATATCTAGCTCTTGTTTTTTTTTCTAGTTTATGCTTCGGTTTCGGAACGCTCTTAACCATCAAAGGTAATTGTAATTACCTTGTAGTGAAAAGAAGTGAATTCCAACATGGTTCATTAAGATTGTTAGGAGCCTTTTTCAGAAAAACAACGTTTACTAAAATAGTGTGAAAGCTAGTTTGTCTTCCCTGTTGCAACTAGCTTTTGTCTGGGTTTACCAGAGCCCAATAATCGTTGAAGGGCAGAATAATAATTAAGAACGTGATTGTATAAGTTATGTTATTGCTTGCAGGAAGGTTTGGACGAAGTGTTCGAAGAAGCTTTTGAAATTGGTCACAGTTATGCACTCGAACGATTGCGTGGCTATCGACGAAAGATGTCCGCTGCGGCTCAAATACCGAAAGACCGAAGACCGAGTTGTATCACTCAGTAGTCGCAACTTGATCTAGTCATTCAATGAATATTACAATTTTCGTGCCAAACTTCTCATGTCTACCTCCAACCCTGCTCGAGAGATGTTCTGCTTGCTCACCCAGAGCTACTTTTTTTTACTTGTTCCCTCAGTTCACGCACGTCATCGTTGTGCGGATCCCTCCAGGAAGAGAGCGAAGCTGAGAGAGATTGAGAGAGCCATGAAGGAGATTCCCCGATTGTTGCTGCTTCCTACTGCAAACGTTATTCCTCTCATTGACAAGAGGATCACTCTAATGTGTCTTTCCCAAGACCGAGAACACTTTCGTTGGGGATTCCCAGAAAAAAGTTTTGTTTCGCTTCTAGGAAATTTCTCCCGTTTGTTAATTTACTTGGTTTTTTTTCACGCGCGCTGTATGCATCTCTAGTTCTCGGCGTGGCGAAATGCAAAACTTCTATTTGATTAGAGCTGTGCATCTGCACGGTAAAATTTTCGGAAAAGTTGGTCAGGTGAAGGGCAGGTTGAAAGGGAATGATGGTGATGGGAATAATTTCAGGAGGGGTCATACTGACATCGTCGCTTCACTCTTTCTGATGACGTATCTTGTGCGAATGCTGCAGCACGAAACCTCTCAGTTCTATTCCCCCCACTCTCGACGTAACAGCTGCGAAGACGGCGTTTTGAAAGTCATGCGAAAAGAAGGCATTAGATAACTTCTAGAGAGGAAGATGGTTTTATCTGCATTTTCCTGGCAGCTATTGGCAGCGCCACCCTCAAAGACTCTTCGTGGGGCCAGCGGACTAAGTTGTAGAAGAGCGTCCTTCTCATAACTGAGGCCCCTTTCAAGACTGCGAAAAAAAGTAGCAAACCATTGAGAAAAGTGCAGGGGTTCATATGGATCATTACGTACGCTGCATTCGCACCAGGTTCTAGCTAATTTGACGCCAATTGCTACAGTGGGCCGGGCTGTACTAGAGGTGTTGCCCTTGCCAAGCCTTAAGGTTGTCCTATAACTTCTCCCTCTCGTTCCGTAACAGATGTTTTGTTTCCTTAACGAGAATAGTACATGCCCTTTGTACTTGTACCTTAATTTCACGATGGTGCACCAAAAATGATCAAACATCATCCA